AGACAGAATCCGACTGCAGAGCTTCTACAGATCTAGAGATGTTGTTTCTAGTTTCGGATGGAGTCACTGTAGGTCCATCAGCCTCCACCCTTAGAGCGCCCCCAGCAGCTTTCATCACAACATTACTCCCTTGATCAGTGGAGTGTGATGGTTGGGCTGCAAAGTGGTCTTTACTCAGATGTTACCAAATCCTGCAACAAACTGCTGAGCTGCTATTTTACTGAAGAATGAGAAAGGTCAGATTTATCTCAACAAAGCTACGTGCATCTTTCCTGAGCTGTGATGAAATGAAATCATCCAGTAATTAATGACACCACAAGTCAAAAAGTAATCAAGCATGTTGCTCCCCTCCAGCTTTATGTGCCACAGAGTGAAGGGACTGGATGGAGACGTACCTGACTGATGGTGCTCATGGCTCTCATGTAGCTTTCATTGCGTGAGCGATACTGAGGGGAGGACAGCAGGGATTTGGGGTCCAGGAGGGTTTTAGGGTCCAGAGTGTCCACGCTTCTGTTGATTGAAACCTCACTCACAGCCCGCAGGTAACTGTGACTCCTGATCTGCAGCTTGGGGGAGTGTTCTGTGGAGATCCTGCAAGAAGAAGAGCTTCAGAGAAAACTTCCATGGCTTCGCAGTCTACATTAACAACCGACTCAACTTTTTAGTTTGCAATAATACTAATGTGGACTATTTATTCTACCTGTAACTATGAATGGCTTTGCTAAACACGATGCTGCAGAGGATCTCTGTTACATTCTAGAGGTTTCTAACAACAACAACGTCTACAATGATTACTGAAGGTTTTGGTTTGTTCGTTGCAAATAGAGAAAGAAATTCTGCTGCTCTAATCCCAGTGTTCAAAACACTAGATGACTGCCACACAGTCCTAAAGGAGAAAGACTGGCAGACTGTAAACTAGAGATTGAGACTGTTAGGAGAAAGATCTTTTTCTTGAGTTGAGGCGGTAAGTGAGACACTTTGCCAATAGAACAAGACAATTAACATTTAAAATAAGAAAAACAC